TTTTCCCCGTGTTCAGATCTAGCCCAAATATTTCCTCCCCATTATATGTCTTCAGTTCAGGCCGTCTGTCACTCTAGCACCATTGATGCAGTTGAAAGTATCCGCTGTCTTGATACTCTAATATGAGCATTACAGTATAGTAGCATTTTACATACGGTTAGACTTTTTTCTTCCTGTTGTAGCCAAATTCCTATGTCAGGAAATGAGCTTGTTTTAAATGCAGATTATGAGAGTGAACGTGGCAGGATGAGTGAGGTTTTTTTTGGTTCGTTTGTTTTTGGGATGGTCTTGTACCTTGGTCCAGCCACCCAGTTGCTTTACTTGCAACTTACAGGATATGGATGATTAAATGCAGCCCTATTTTGCTATGAAGGGTTTGGGGAGTTTTCAGTTGTATTGTCTTTTCCTGTCCTCTTAGAGAGCTGTGGGAAGCATCTGCTCTCAACCTATACCATTTTTAGGGCCAGTTTACCTGGTTTGTGTTTTACTTGAGCACCTGATTTTTAAGCAGTGCAAAACATTCGATCCTTCATGGTTTTGTGGATCATTGGCTATGGATGCAAATTCCAGAGATTCAGCAAATAAGAACCACAGCCCTATAGCTAGCTGTCTGTGGCCATTGGCCACAAGGATTCTAAATAAATATTTTTTGAGTGTTGCTAGGGTCAGGCTCTCTAAAAACTTTATTTTTTAATTAAAAATTTTTCAGGCACTTCTGAGAGATTTAATAACTCAATAGTCCTTACAATTCTGAGGTAGGTGGTAGTATTCCATTTTACAGATGAGAAAACTGGGGCCCATTTACCTGGTGTCAAATGGCTAGTGAACAGAACTCTAAACTCAGGTATTTTAGCTTCATAGCATCTTCTCTTGACCTCCATGATCGACAGTTTGTTCATGTTCTAGTAGATATTTCTTCATTACTCTAAGAGCAAGCATAATCATGATCTTTTGTGTTCAAGGTTTTCTTACTTGAGGTGAAAATTTCTAGTTATAGTGTACTTCCAAATTTTGAGCATAAAAAAATGACCAGGGGAATTAAAAATGCAGATTCCTTGGGTTCAGTTTTCTTTTTTTGTATCAAAATCTGGAGAGGGTTCTAAGAAGCTCCTCCTATCATTCAGAAACAGGTGGCACCAAAGACCACTCTGAAAAACAGTGGTTTCGTAGGCAGTATAGGGGGTGGGGTAGCATTATATAAGGTGGTTTTGAAACTTCTTTTAGGAACTAAGACAAATATGTCGTAGGATTTATTTTTTTGTTGTCTACTGTTTGGTGCCATCAGGTAGAGACATGCTGAAGGAATAAGTAAAGTATTCTTCCTCTCATTTGCTCTTTCTGTACTGTGCCAGGATGCACCTGTTGGAGGGAGAGTAGTAGAAAGAATCTCTTTTGGCTGTGGTTGTGTTACTCCTATTGCATAACTCGATTCTATCCTATCTAATAAAAGAAAAACATGGTAATTAGCCGTACCTCCGCTACCCTTCCCATTGGCTAATCAGGACAATATGCAAATTAACTGCCAGCCAAGATGGCGGCCGGCAGCCAGGCAGCTTGAAGCGAACATGAGGCTTGCTTGCTTAAGTGACGGAGGACTCCAACATTCCTCGCCTGCTGCTGCAGGCCTCTGAGCCGGCAGTTTTAGAAGCTCTGTAACAAATACCACGGGACTTCAGCTAGCAGATTCGCAACATTGTAAGCAAAGGCCAGAAACCTACTTTTAGCCGCGGAGGCCTAAGAGCTGGAGCCAAGCCTCAAAGCTAAAGCT